CTGCCACGTCTTTTTTCAAACCGTCCCACCAATATAACTCTTTCACATCGTGATACATTTTGCTCCCTCCTGGATGTATGGTATACCTCGATCGATGTGATTCTTCTAGAATTTCTTTCCTTAACTCTTCATCAACTGGAACTACAATTCGATAACGAAACCTTAACACTCCTTCAGACCCTAATTTAAAGTCTAGGGTTTCTCCGTTTTGCACTTTCTCCAACTTTTTCTGGATTATAGGGTCCGTTTTCTATGCCTCCTTAATACGCTCCAATAATGGTGATTTCAACGACAGGTTCCCAAATGTAATCTTCAATCTCTCCAAGCGAGGGTTCCAAATACTAACCTCTTCTAACATGTCCCATTCTTTTACCATTAACCGCGCTACTTGGGTCTTTCTACTTAGAGCGTCTGCTACCACGTTGGCTTTTCCTGGGTGGTAGTTGATAGAACAATCATAATCCTCTAAAAATTCTACCCATCGCCTCTGTCTCAAATTCAATTCCTTTTGGGAGAACAAGTACTTAAGGCTCTTGTGGTCCGTAAAAACTTCAAAGGTTACACCATACAAGTAATGCCTCCATTTCTTTAAGGCAAAGTGTGACGACCCCACCCCTCCCAAGGGCGAACCCAAGGGTATCGGCGGGCCGCCTGCCTAGCTCGCGCCAGGACTCGAAACACAAAACTAATAAAATGATAGTAAACCAAAAGAGAACTGTCTATAATATATACAACCACCACAAGTTCTATTTACATCTTCAAAAGCATCAAGTCAAACCTCTCTAATATACTATAACAACAACCAGTAGAAAGTAGACCCTAAGGAGGGTCCTTATACAAACCACCAAAATAAAAACAAACATTCTAACTGTCCAACTATTACAAACGAGACCTAACTATACTAACGGCAGAGTCCCAAAGTTCCCCGCGTCGTCCCCTGCTAAGGAAAACAAAGGAAACGGGGTAAGCTAGAAGCTTAGTAAGTAAACAGGGGTAAAAACGTAAATTTCACGTAACCACATTTACACAGTAGGAGTAAAGCAAAAGCAGAAAAATAACATCACATGATAAGGATACATATGGCTTCAAAGCCAAGTCATTTGCCATGTGTGATCTCCTGTCGACACTCCGTCGACCATAAATAAGGTCCGTAGAACTTCATTTGTACACGCACCGGACACCTTATCACCCTCACTGGCCAGTCACCTCACAAACTTGCCCGGGCGAACGAAATCACAAACTTGAGCTTGAGTCACAAGCTCGGGTCACAAACTTGGTTCACAACTCGGTGAACCGGATTCACAAACTTGGTGACCTCAATCCAAGTTGGACTGACTTCGACCAAGCCCTAACCGGCTCGAATAGTCCCTCGAGGTATTGAGATCAGCCCCAAACTCACAAATTTCACAAAATTATTCAAAAGTTACCCTGAGCCACAAGCTCAAGGGTTTTAGTTCCAAAATTGCTCATATACACAAGCCATGTATAAATATGTGCGCAGATTAGGGTCTAGGTCGAGTGCGATAAAGTACACCCTCGCCTAGGTACCCTCTTCATACAAATCGAAACACATAAGCAACGAATACACAAGAGCGGCCTGAATACTTACTCAAAATACCAAAAGTAGTACTAAAGCAAAATCGCTTCGCGCGTGTTCGCTAGTAGTGGACCCCACCGGCTCCGCCTAGCTCACCACTGTCTGAAATAGAAGATTTTACCACATTATATCACAAACGGCTACTAACAGATCGAAAACAAGCAAAACGGCAAAAATCGGCACACGCGCTCGCGCGGAACGGCAAACGGAAACGGCCAAATCGGCCATCTCAAACCGTTTTGATCAAAGGTTAGGCTAGGAATATCGGATCAAGGTGAGCGAGACACCTTTTCGAAGCTGTGAGGATGGCCTACGATTCTCATGAAGACACCTTAAACTAGATCCGAATCAACACAAGTCGAAATCATGGAAAACGGTACCAGAAGTTTGCACTTTGAATGACAGACAGGGTCTGTTTACTAGACCATAACTTCTAGCTCACAAGTCCAAATCAGGAAATTCCAAAGGCATTAGAAAGCTGAGACATAAGGCTAAAACTTTGATGTTTTGTACAAGACCTGAATCCACTCAGAACAGAACGAAAATTGAGTGCCAAAGTACCCTTCAGAACTGTCCAGATACAAGGCAGTTCTGACGATCAATCTTGTTTTGGTCATAACGGAAGCTACGGAACTCAGATTTCGACGCACTTTATACCGTTTCGAAGCTGAGACCAAGATATACATTTCATCAGAAGACCTCAACACCCAAATCCAAAAAAATTCCAGGAAAAACAACCCATTTCAGACGCAGTTCTAACATCCTGATGAACCCAGAACAGCAATAGTAATTTCGGCTTATCTCATTCTACACTACTCCGATTGACCTGAAATTTTACAGACACCTTTAAAACATCAATACCTAAAACTTTCATGTTTTAAGACAAGGCCAATTCGGCCTCTATCTAGGACCAAAAATTTCGGACAGAATGAAGAACCAAGAACCCTAATTTTCCAGAATTTCTTCCAAAACAGAAATTGATTGCAATTATCAATCATTTACACCTACTAGAGTTATTAAACATCATTTCCAATCATCAAAGATAGCCACACCATCATGATCATATGAAACCAGAAAAATCACCAATAAATTGAAAACTTCATCAATTTATCCAAAAGCAAGAAATAACCACAAAATTCATCACTTTAACTATGACTAGGCATCAATTAAGCTTCATTAGATGAAGGAGAAGGTTCATTCATTACTCACCTAGTAAAACAAGAGAGAGAGAGTTGCTTGACACCTTAGCTTCTCCAAACACTTCACCAAACTACTAAATAACACCTAATGAAGAGATTTTATGGAGTAGAAACAAGTTTATGTGATTGTTTTGGAAGATTTGAGCTAGATAGAAGCTAGAAATTGGAAGAGTTTTCTTTCTTCTTTGTTCAAGATGGCCGACCAAGAGGGAGGAGGAAAGAGTGAATTTTTGGTAAGTTTTTGAGATATTTTAACTAAATGGTAAAAAGTCAAAAAAATGAATAGTTGTCCAACAAGTCCAACCAATGAGATAGTGACACTTGTCACTCCATTTAAAGCATCTCTATCCTTTTTCTCTCTCACATCATTCACATCACAACCTCTACTTATCTCTTAACACCCGATAAATTTCACCCAGTGTCCGGAACTTAACCTAATTGGCCGAATTTTTCCGAACATTTCGCACTAGCGGGTCCCACGTCCGTTATATATCCTTAATTTCTCAAAAACTAACCGATACTAGAAAAATCATCTAAAACCTATATTTACTCATAAGAATTATCTGGGGAAAGTTCTAGTAAAGAAAAATGTAGAAAAGACGGGCGATAAAGAAAGAAAAAAAAACCCACTTAAACTTTCTAATAAAATAAACTAGGGTTTTCAACCTTAACCGAGGTTAGGGTTTTACTCCTTAGCCTTAAAACCCGAATTCCATCCCACCGATTTACGAATAACCCTCATATCAGCTTACGGACGGACTGGGGCCTCACACAAAGACCACTGCGGCCAGTTCTAGGTCATGCGTTGGGCAATTTTGTTCGTGAGGCTTCAATTTTCTAAAGGCATAGGCAACTACCTTACCATTTTGCATTAGTACACATCCTAGACCTTCTCGAGAGGCATCAGAGTATACGACATAACTCTCTACTCCGTCAAGCAATGCCAACACAGGAGCTGATATTAAGCGCTTCTTTAACTCCTGAAAACTTGACTCGCACTTTGGAGTCCAAATGAACTTATTATTTTTCTTTGTCAGCTCTGTCATAGGTCCAGCAATCTTCGAAAAGTCCTTGATGAACCGCCTGTAATAACCTGCTAAGCCCAAGAAACTTCTAACCTCTGTTGGAGTTTCTGGCTGCTTCCATATTGTGACTGCCTCAACTTTTGCCGGATCCACGGCAATTCCATCTTTAGAAACTTTGTGTCCCAGAAAAGAAATTTCTTCCAGCCAAAACTCGCACTTGCTAAATTTAGCATACAATTTATGCTCTCTTAAGATCTGCAGAACTATCTCCAAGTGTTTAGCATGTTCTTCACGAGTCTTAAAATATACTAGGATATCATCAATAAAAACTACTACAAACTAATCCAAGTACTTTTTAAAGACTCTCTGCATTAAGTCCATGAAGGCAGCTGGTGCATTGGTTAATCCAAATGGCATGACTGCAAACTCAAAATGTCTATATCTTGTATTAAAAGCAGTCTTAGGTATGTCTTCCTTCTTAATTTTCAACTGATAATACCCTTGTCTCAAATCCAACTTGGAGAAAACTACTGATCCTTGCAGCTGATCGAATAAACTGTCAATCAATGGTAGAGGGTATTTATTCTTAATTGTACCTTCATTTAATCCTCGATAATCAATACATAACCTTAAACTTCCATCCTTTTTCTTAACAAATAGAACAGGTGCTCCCCATGGCGAATCACTTTCTCTAACAAAACCTCTCTCCAACAAATCCTGTAATTAAATTTTCAATTCTCTTAGCTCTGCAGGGGCCATTCGGTATGGAGTCTTACAAATTGGGGCCATTCCCGACACTAGTTCAATCTTGAACTCCACTTCTCTCTCTGGAGGTAATATTTTTAATTCTTCAGGAAACACATCTGGAAATTCCCTTACCACTGGTACATCTTCCAATTTTACTTGGTCACTGGGAGCGTTAATCAGGAAAGCTAAGAAACCTTGCGCTCCTTTATACAACATTTTCCTTGCCCGAATTCCCGAAATCATAGCAGAAGATGCTAACCTGCCTTTCACATCCAATTTCAGGGTTGCTTCCCCGGGAATCCAAAATTCTACCACTTTCGCTCCGCAATCAAGCTTAGCATGGTGATGAGCTAGAAAATCCATTCCTATAATAACATCATAACCTTTTATGTCCAAACTGACTAGATCTACTAGCATCCTACGCTCTCCAACCTAGAATTCGCAGTTCTTATAGGCCAGGCTAGTGATTATGCTTTTATGACCCATGGGTGTCCTAATTTCAAGATCAAAGGGTAATCTAACTGGTTTTATATCAATTCCGGACATAAAAGTTGGATTCACGAATGAATGAGTTGCGCCAGGATCGACTAGTACTCTAGCTAATTGGTGAAAGATTGGAAGAGTACCTTCCACAACTTCCGAGGAATCAGGTACGGGTTGGTCGTCTATGGCATACACCCTGGCAGGAACTTTCGGCCTACTTCCTCCAGGAGTGGCCTGTCTAGCACTCGGGGTACCACCTTTTTGTATCTTCGGACAACCGGCAATCTGGTGGTCGCTGCTTCCACACCTCAAGCACTTTCCTTCTTTCCTCCAGCATCCGTCCTCAGTATGGCCAGCTTTCCTGCAATATCCACAAGTTACCTGAGGGGTTTTCACACGACCTCCTTGCGAGGCGTTCCTAGGTTGACCCCTTCCACTTGGTCCTCCTCTAGCTCCGTTATCTCTTCCCCCGACACCTCTTGCTCCAGCTCCTCTCGCTAGAGCGCCTCGTGGTGCTCCAGGACTATTTACTCCACGCGTTCCTTGACCCACTTTGGCTGGTGGAGCATTTGCATAAGTCGGCTCCAGACCGCTGCTAGGGCCAAATCTTTTCTTGGCCTGGAAAGATTTTACTTGAGCTCTGGCAACTTCAACCCTTTGAGCTTTCTCTACAGCATCAGCAAATGTGTCAATCCGAATAGCAGCTAATCCCTCCTGGATCTCCACGTTTAGTCCCTGCACAAACCTCCTTATACGCCTTTGCTCCGTAGCTACCAATTCAGGAGCATAACGGGACAATTTTGTGAATTGAATCTCATATTCGGCGACACTCACTGCCCCCTGCCTACACTTGATGAAGTCATCCTCTCTTTTCTCTTGGATGAGAGGAGGGAGAAACTTGGCGTTAAACTCCCTTGTGAAGTTCGCCCAGGTCCTAGGAATATGGTTCCTGTCCCAATTAACCCTAACTAGGTTCCACCAGGAACAAGCAGTTTCCTCAAACTGGAATACTGCAAAAGTCACCTGTCTCTCCTCCGCATAGTTTAGAGTTGCAAAAATGTCAGATATCCACTCCCACCAACCTTCTGCTACCTCAGTTTCTGGTCCTCCATAAAACTTAGCAGGTCCAAACTTCAAGAATCTCTCTAATGCCCGATCCTCAGTATCGATTGGGCCTCCTTGGTGATGCACTGGTCCAAGAGCTTGGTGCTCAGTCATGCGCTCTAAAACATCAGTTATTCTATTGATCGCGGTGGCCACTGGGTCTCCGGCCACGCCCTCATGACCATGGTCTTGATTGACCTCAGGTCCCCTATCACCACCAACCTCGGGGTGTTGTCTAGTTGATCTCCCACGCTCTCTACCTCTAACTTGTCTATTCATAGCCTAATTATGCCTATGGATAAAAATAAAGCAATTAAGCGAGGATATTTTAATTAATTACTTTTAAAAATTTTTTTTAAATAACATCAACATGAACATTGAGGAAAAGGAAAATAAAACACTTAACATATAATCACATACCGAGGTTCATACAAATAGCAAGTTAGGGTGCTTTCCAAAAGTATGGCACGCGAGTTTAACAAATACATACAAACAATCCCTTAAACCAAAAATAGGGATGTAGTGCCTCAAAGTAGGCCATCCAGCTAGACAAAATGCTATGGCCTAACTAGTGTCACCCTATCTAACCCTGGATACTTAGTTACAAGCAGATCAAACCCAGTCTAACCCTAAGCAGGGCTGCCAGGGGCAACGTCCTCCTCAGGGTCCTCCTCAACACCCGTCTGAGCAGTTCCCTGAATGATACCCATGACCTCGTCTATCATCATAGTGGCGTCAGCCCTAATACCCGCACTCCTATCTCGTACCTCCTCAGCTACTCGAGTCAATGGAGACCTCTGTCTCTCTAACTCCTCACGAGCAGCCTCTGACCTAGCCCTCTCGGCTGCTAACCTCTACTCTAGCTCGGCTGTGCGGTCAAGCTGAGTATCAACCATGATGCTCAACCCCTCGACGTCCTGGGTCAAAGTGTGATTAGCCTCCCTCAGCTGGCGACGCTCGTCATCTAAAGACAGCACTAACTCGTTAGGGTAGGCACATGTGACCCTACACTGACATCGGGGGTACCGATCAGCTGGTGTATAACGTATACGACGTCCTCCGCCTCGTGGCCTATAGGAGATGGACCTAAGAGGCTCTACATGTCCATTAGCCAATCCGTTACCACTAGTATGTCCGTTTCCGTTTTTCATACCTGCAAAATAACCAAAAATCCAAAAGTTAATGCTTAAATAGCTAACTTGCTCAAGTACCACTTAAGATATGTCTAATTATCTCACTTCTTAACTCTAAAAGGTTCAGGATTTCTAACACATCCAATATATCTTTCAGATAATTTTTCTAACCTAGGCTCTGATACCAACTGTGACGGCCCCACTTCTCCCTAAGGCGAACCAGAGGATTGGCGGGTCGCCTGCCTAGCTCTCGCCAGGACTCACGCAAGGAAACTGGCTAAACCCTTCCGACGTATAACATTAACCATTACAAAATTCGTCACCCGAACAAGCCAATCCTTAAACGACCAAAACTCTAAGAACACATTAACTTCAGAGATAACATTACCATTGGACAAATGAACATCCACTCTTACGTACATCTCCAATCAGATAAAAATATAACTACATTTATACATTACAAACCACAAAGTGAAGTCATAAAATTCAAATACATTCATACAAGTCAAACAAAACTCAGGTTTTGCACTTTTCCAGCTTCAACTGGCAACCCAAGCCGAAAGATACATAGTCTGATTCAAAACAACATTCGTAAAAGGTAAAGGCAGATTCAGGTCTTTCAAATGCCAGAACCTGTTAAGGAAAACAAGTAACGTGGGGTGAGTTAAAGCTCAGTGGTGTCCCGAACATGCAATCATATAAGCAAACAGCGAATAATAACTCCAAACTAAAATTCAACAAGTAGGAAAGCGTATAACAGCACAGGGTAGGATACAGGGGCTCTCAGGAGCCATTTTTCCACGAACTTGATCAAAATTAACCGCAGTTGACCCCTCCATCAACTTTCACTATCTAAAATCCATGTAGATTTTTTTTTTCTTATCTTAACACGCTCCAACCAACTTACTCCCACCGGGCCCGTTCTTCTCACGAGAGGGTTTGGTATTACCCGAGTATACCTTTTTAAAGCCTAGTCGAGGGATTCACCCAGCGACGTCACAACAAGTGGTTACCAAGTCAGGATAAGAGGTCCTCCCACCCTAAGGTGTGGTACATTCCCCTGCCTGGTAGTTGAGTTGACGGGTCCACGCTCCAGTCAACAATTGCAAGATTTTGGTACTTGAGTTAGGATAAGAGGCCCTCCCACCCTTAGGTGTGGTACATTCCCCCACTCAGTACTTAACTAGTGCAAGCAAGATATTCGAGAAAATATTTCAAGCAATTCACCACTCGAAAGGCTAGTGCGATAAAGTACACACTGCCCTCTTCGATGGATCAGAAAAACCACATTCCAATTATCACATAACAGTCAAGAAAGCACTTTAACAAGATAAAACATAGAACAAGCAAGGACACTCACCAAAAGTGAAGCTCAAAAGTCAAGCTGGGAATCGAAGTCCACGTCATCGCTAAACCCTAAAAGACCAAGTTTTAAATCTATAAGTTTTACTATACAAGTTCTTGATTTATATATAAAAGATTATCTGATATATAACTAGAGGTGCAACTAGAACTAATTTACCTCAAATAAGTTTTCTTGCCGAACAAGTTTTCTACGCTTTTCATTTAAAGTTATTAAAATCTCATGTTTTTGATAATTTTTCCTCTAAAACAACTAGTCAGGGACAATTTTATGAAAAATTTAGAGCTTGGAAGTTAGTTCAATTAATTCCTAAAAGTAATGAAGCTAGTCTAAGCAAAGAAAAGAATTAACTAGTTGGCAAGGTTTTAAAAGTCTCGACACTTGAATTTTAGCATTATCGTACTATACTCAATTTCTATAGCTTGATACTAGGACAAAATATTTCAACAAGCTTGGTTAAAAGGTACTCGAGTTCAAAGGACCAAAACGGACCTCACGATTCCAATTCATTTGCACATTATATTCCAAGTCGACAATATAGCACAATCACAATTCAAACATCAATTTCACTAGGGCTTCATCAATCATTAGCCCTAGGTCTCAAAAAGTTCAATTCTAACTAATAATTAAACAAAGGAAGTCCAAAACGTCAAAACAATTCCAAACCACAAGTCATGGCTTTCCAAGTGCATTTCGGCCAAACCACTTAAACAATTCCACCAAAAATTTAACTCTTGTAAAAATCATTCAAATGGCCAAGAGCTTCATCAATCATTAGCTCTTGACAACAAACAATCACTTCCTACTACAATTCAACCAGAATTTCAACCCAAACCAAAAAGGAAAGTCACGGCCAACTTAACTCACAAATAACTCTAGAAATTCAGATTTTCTTTTCGCTTTTTTTTTTATATCCACGGCTCATTTCAGCTGTATGCATGGCCAAATAATCAGTTAACTATCAGTTTTAATCCAAAGCCAAGTTCGGACATCATCAAAAGTCACCATCCAACCAGAAATTCATCCAAGTCTTCTCGGTTGGCTTGCATGCAAGCAGATTCTGCATCCCTTCACTTTTCTTACTTACTCACGGCTGATTAACCTCATGCAAAGCATAATCATCCAGTTTTTAGTTAGCTAAACACACATCTAATCTCAGATTACCACAAATTAACCAATTAAAGCTGTAATTTCCAGCTCAAACTCTCGGCAACTCTAATTTCTTTCAAAATCAGATTTCTTGTGACTTAATTTATCATCCAACCGCACCACCCTCACATGCATGCTCATAAACAACATCATCTACCTATAATTAACTAGTCTAGGTCCAGAATTTACCTCAACTTGAAGCTCAACTCACGCGACTAGCAGCTGAAATTTTTCCCTCCTCTCGGCTTGCTAAGGAGCTCGAGTATGGCTGGCTGAGCTCGATTTGTTCAGGCTGTGGTGTTGGGGTTGAGGTTGAGCACAGCTGGTTGAAGGTGAAGAAGGAAATGGGCAGCTCGATAGTGATGGAGGAGATGAAGACAGACAGATCGCAAACTACCTCTTGCTCTCTCTCTCTTTCTCTCGGACAGTTCAGAAATGCAGCTCACCGACTCACCCTCTCTCCCTTGCTCAAGCTTACAAGCAAACTGGTGAAAGTGATGGCTGTCGGTCCTCTTCACCAGCTCACGGTTGGAATGGAGATTGAACAGCAAGTCTCTCTTTTTTTTTAGCTTACGGATAGAAAGAAAAGGAAATAAAGAGCTCGGCTCTCTCCCACTTTACTCTCGGACAGTTCATGGCAGACAAAGGAAATGGGAATGAGATGCTGTGGTGATTTGGGGTTGGTAGAATGGAATGCGTATAGTGGAATGTTTACAGTGAAGTGTCTAGTGGAGCTGAGCCGGCAATATGAATGGTGGAGTGCTGGAGTGAAAAAAAAAAAATGGAACCGACAAGATGAAATGCTGGGATTTAAAGCTTGTCCAAGAAGGTTCCATGGCTGCATGGTTAATTTGAGATGGGAAAAGGCTATTTTGGTCTTTTAATATCTTGTTCGACCTTCCACTTAAATCCTCATTCGTAATTAATTCCAAAATTTTACCCCAAATGAAATTCGATAGCCTATTAGTATACTAATCTCGTAAAATTCAATTATCGAGATTTAACGTCCTAAGTGTAATTATAAAGGGTTTTGACCTAAAATCGATTTCGTCTTAATTCTAGGTTCCCGTTGACACTTAACGTTATTAACACTTAAAATTAGCTATCGGAATTCAAAGAATTGATATTAAAGCAATAAAATAATCCACAACAAGAAATACTAATCTCACTTGGCAAAAATCAAATAATTCAATACTTTGCACAATTAAATTATTTGTAACTTAAAAACTATTTTTACATACTTATTTAAGAACAACTAATAATAAAATTTATTAAAAGTCAAAAATGCAGGTGCTACATGTATATATATATATATATATATATATTATTATTTTTTTTCAAGGTTCTCACATCCTCCCCCCCTTAAATGAATTTTGTCCTCAAAATTCTTACCTTCTAAAGAAATAAATTGGGGTATTTTCTCTGCATATCCTCTTCTAGTTCCCAAGTTGCCTCCTCTATTCCATGATTTTTCCAAAGAATCTTTACCAAAGGAATTTTCTTACTTCTCAATTCTTTCACTTCTCTTTCCAAAATCTTAATTGGTCCTTCTTCATAAGTTAACGACTCATCCACCTCAATTCCTTCCAATTGCAACACATGGCTTGGGTCGGGGTGATATTTCTTGAGCATAG